TGATAAAAAATAAAAAAGCAGGGGGCTGAGCTCATGCGGAACCCGGCAGCTACCGTCTAAACTAAATGCTGCCGTGATGAAACGCCATATCATGGATTATCAAGGATTATTTCTGAAACAGTATGGAGCTCAAAGGCTTTCTCTCTTGCCGGTTATACCACAAGGTGAGTTCCTTTTTATTTCCAGCTTCTTCACACACATGTTCTCCAGTACAGGTTAGCTCTGAGTGTTAGCGATGCTAATGTAAACACGACCATATTACGTCCAAAACAGTCTGGCATTGTTTCTGATAGCAACTTTCTGATAGTGGCGTGGGTCCACATTTCCGATATTACGTCATATCGGACGCAAATCTGGATCAGCTCCGTTGTACCCCCGTTTTTAGAGATTTAGGTACGGAGGAAAAGAGAGAGGGTTTTATTTTCTGACGCTGCGTGAGTTCCCTGACACACCGGGGACACATATCTATGTATAAAAGACATCAAAAAGTGCATTTTGCATGATAGGTCCCCTTTAAAAGATAACAGTAAAGATTTGTATATGATATCATAATACACTGTATGCTCACGTGTAGATGATCCTCCCTTCATTCATATTTAAAGCATTATGTTTGACTCAAACGTGAGTCATGAGTACTACAACACACACACACAAACACACACACACACACACACACACACACACACACACACACACACACACATGCTTAATGAGATCCTGCTGACACCCTGCACCCTTACCTCAGCATGTGTGTCACACTTTATCTTCTCCCGTAAACACACACACAGCACATGCTAATGAGATGCAGGAGACTTTAAGGTCAGAGGGACGGGTCACTTTGTCTGGCTCAGGCATTTTAATCTGTTCTTACAACAAAGTGAGAAAGAAAGAAGGGATATAGACCACACGAATGATAACACATGATTGATTTTTTTCTTATCGCACACTTAACGAACTCAGCGCAGATTCAGAAGCGGGAGGATTTAGCCGTGTAAGCACATTCCTCGTGGAGATCAGCAACACTTCAGCTACCTGTCTCACTGAGAAAGAGGTTAACTGCTCTCACCTCTTCTTCTCTGCTCTGTGGAAACCAGAAGTACACATAAGATAGAGTGTCTTGAGTTATTTATACGGCTGCTGTGAGACAAAATACACCTCAATTTCTTTATCTACTCTCACACATACACACTCTGCGGTCTAATTAAAATCATCTCATCCCTCGCCAGCCTTACCCATCCATCTCTCCCCTATCTAATCCTCTCTCCTGCCCTCTCTTTATTGGTAGTTTATACTTTCTACCGCCCTTTTCTCTCCATATTTCTTCCTCTCTACTCTCCGTCTCCTCCCCTCTACTCTCCTATCCCCCAGACGGACATTATCGGAGGGAATGGCGATTGATTTGCTTCTACTTGCTTTCCTCTGTTCTCCTGTCAAGGCTGTTTCTCTTATCTTGGCATTACAATTTCCAGAGAGGCAAGAACACATCACTCCTTTGACAGAACATGTCCTTGTGAGGTCCCTTACCTCAGCTTTTACTTTTATGTCTCTCTTTCTAACTATGTTGGGCAAATGGAAATAGATTTCTGCTCCTTCCACCTCTTTCTTTTTCCTTTTACAGCAAGTTCATATTAATCCAAAGTATCAAATAATTCCCACCAGTGCTTTAATCCAAAACACTGTAAGAGCAAAAGCTATGAGTCATGACTCAGAGTTGAAATCCAAGTATTATGACTTAGCTGTATGCTTCTTTGAAAGAAGAATATAAAAGAGAACTTGAATCCAAAAGTGCCACGAGTATATGATTTGTTATCTCCTCTCTCCGCCTTCACTCAGCAGGGATCTGACTACAAGCGTCCATCAGCAAAAACCTCACAAAAACGTTTCTCACCCCTCAGATAAAGTACTTATTTCTGGATGAAGCACTTTGGGAAACTTTGGCCCAGACCCTGAAATAGCTTCCGCACTTCAGCATCCTCTGACAGATGAAAGACATATTTTATTCTAGGACTGTTCTTTCTAAAAGTTCCCGCCGGGGAGAGTTTAAATACTTTCCTTCATCCATCTTCTCTGCTTTTTCTCAAGCTTCTCTATCTCCTCTCCCTTGAGCTCCATTAGTTATCTCCTGATGGGTCATTAACTATTAAACACCAGAGAGAGGGAAAAGGAGAAGAGGGGCTTAGTGAAAGGTTTGTGTCTAGTTTGCAATAATAAATGGACATTGGGGGATGACATCAGAGGAAGTGATAAGTGGGAATCACAGTGCTGCTGCTTTCTGTCCTGTAAGGCGTATTATACAAAGAGATATTTACATTAACATTTCTAAAAAATCCAGACAATCAACAGATTTCAGAGCACTACACAGGCTGCTTTTTCTCTGCATACACAGTTCACATCCAAAAGTTCAGTTCAGCCCTCCCCTCAGGAAATCAGTGGCAGGCCTTCTCATCCAGTCGAGCTTAAGAAGGGTTTTGGATGATCCAGAGACAGTAAAGCCCTCAGA